AAATGACACATACAATTATCATATTCAGCAGAGTTGAGGTTTTCAAGGGCCCTCCGTTTGTCGTCATTTACCTCTTCCTGTTTCCGCCCGAAGGGGCCCTGGAGTCCGTCCACTCTCAGCATTACCTGAGAAAAGAACAACCAGATTATGATATACTTAGTTAAAATAAAGAAAAGATATCAGGGTTGTGGAATTCTTTACCTCAGCCAGTTGGCTTATAATCCGGTCAAAGTCCACTACCTGCAGATTAGGTATTGAATTCTTCTCTGGCCGGGTGAGGGTCCTCACCATCCGTTTTGCGAAACCAGCAAGATCTGGCTTGTCAGATGACAGATCTGCAGCAAAAGTAGTACTATGTTAGTAAGAGGCAGCATAGTTGGCATTCATCCGTTGCCTGCTGCTGACTAAACCCCCGGAGGGGTCTACCTTAGTCTTGACTCTCATGAAGTCAAATGACCAAGGTATTTTAATCTTTCCCTTACCTTGGGTATTCGGATGGGGCGTAGGCGTCTCTTCCTCCCTAGTTGTTGTCGCACCGGTTGCAACATTAGGTGGCATGCCACCCTTCTATGTCGTGGAGGCATTCTGCGCTTTCTGCTTCGAACGCTCTGAGCCTTCGATCAGAATCTTCATCGCATTAGGAGATTTGCCACCGGTCGTGGGACGATTGGATTTGGCAGAAGTGTTTGACCGGGAGGGTCCACTCTAGCGACCTTCGTAGCCGGAGCTTTTTTTAGATCCTCTCCTTGCCTTTTGAATAACTTGGAGAAGGATCGTGGCACACGCTTTATAGATTCCTGCAAAATGAAAAAGGTTAAGTATACCCAACCGGCAAACTGCCTTAGTAAAAAAAAAAAAAAAAAAAAAAAGAAAATACAAAGTCAGGCGGTCTTACCCCGCCTTTCTTGGACTCTTTAGCGTCAGCGACTTATTTCTTGGCAATAGCAGCCTCCTTGCACAGCAGCACCGCCGACTTAGCCGGAGTTTTTTCTGGATCGACCATTTTCAAGGCGTCGGCTGCATGAATAAAATAACAAACACTCCGGATGCAAGTGGATCTACCCTTGGGAAACATGGGACTTAACCCATAGGCGGACAAGAAGCATTCGTCCTTGAAATAGTCCGGATGGGGGATCTAGTTTTTGGGAACTATAATGTGAGTTCCATCCCCCATGGGCTCAGTTGTTGTCTCAAAGAAACCCGGCTCTATTATTTGCTCCCGGGCCTTAGTAGATAGTTCCGGGAGAGGGCATTTCCTTCCCAGAAGAGTCGGTTCTGTGTTGTACCAGCGTAGTGTCCGGTTGTGTCTCAGAGTTGGAGAAGAAATCAAATAAAACTAATCTTTCCACCCGGACCATTTGGACACGTTATCCAAACTCATCAAATACTGGGGCAAGGTGGAAAGAGTGTACCATGCCCCATGACCGCCTGGTGCCTTGCTCGAATAATGCATATGAGCAAAGGCGGAGAAACTGGGATTTATGTTCAGGAGCTCGCAGGCGGCGATGTAAATCAAAATGTTCACCCACGAGTTGGGGGTGAGCTACCAAACTCCTAGATCATACCCCTAAAGGATTTTCCGAATCCCGGTATGGAGGGGGAACCGGAGGCCGGCTTCTATGACCGCCTCGTAGCAGACAAAGTAGTGGTCTACATTATCTATGTCATCGTCCCATGCCTTCATTGCGTCAACAGGCGGGACGATGATATCTCACCCCTTTCCATACGGGTGCTTCTCTTTAAAAGCCCTAAAGCCGCTCTTTAGTAAGGCAATGTCACCCGGCAGCATTCTAGTCCTTTTGGGGTTAGGGTTGTCAGCGACTTTAGGCGGCTACTGATAGTTAGCCGCAAAGTTATCTTGGTCAGAGCCAGAAGATTCGACCCTTGACCCTTCACCGGCCTCATCATCGCCGATTCCATTAGACGAGGCGGCTTCCTCACCGCCTTCCTCCCGTACACCCGAGCTCCCGGAAGTAGAGGGAGCCTCTTCATCAGGACCGCTCTCCTCCAAATCCTCCTGTTCCTCGCCCGGAACAACCTCAACGGCAGACACTGATATAGTGCGCCGGCTCCTAGACCTTCTGGCCATCTGTTTCATTCAGGCCATTGTGTCCTGCACAGACACAGAGAGGGAGGAATTCGGAGATGAGCCCATCGGTTCTGACAGTCCAGAAAAGGCACCCCCTATTCTAGACTTAGCCGTTCCAGAGGACCGGCTGAGTGTCCTAGGCAGTTCCGAGTGTGTGGATTGAGAACTCATTTTTATTTCTAAACTATGTATACAGGCGGAGAAAGAATGAATTCAAGTTGAAAAAGAGAAAAGCTAAAAATAGTACAGGCGGTTACCTTACTTTAGCTCTAATTAATCTGAAAACAGCTACAGCCGGTAAACCGGGTGTTGCAACGCTAGCACGCGGAAACCTGAAAAAACTTTGATGCAGACGGAGGCAGAGGATCTCTCTCTAAAAATCTCTCTTTCTCTCTCTAAAAAGTCAAATGAAAATAAAGTGAGAGAAAAAGGGGGAGGTAAACTTCTATTTATAGAAGGTGAAACGGGGGAATTCTCGTTTGAAATTTAAAATTTACTATCCGTTGTTACTGTTCACCTCTGATAGGTGGACACGTGTCACAGGCCCCACGTGACATGCACGTGACCCCTGTTTGGGGCAAATGTTTAGGGTAAAAATACCCTAGACACGTGGACCAATGAGAGGAGGCCACGTGGTGAGCTCAGGATGGCCTAAGTGGCTCAATATCCTCTTGACACGTGGCCCCCTTAGATAAGCCTCTGAAATGGCGACCATCAAGGGCCCAAATCCCTAGGAGCGCCGTAAAGCAGCGCAGCCCACTAAAATCTAGGTCAAGTGACCTAGATCGGGGCACATTCTCCAACGACCCTATAAATAGGGAGATATTTCCCCATTTTGGGGACACGTTCAATCATTGATTACACCTACATTCTCTCTCATTAGAGAAACACATGAGCTTGGAATCCAAGCAGATCCCCACCTAAATTTCCGTACTTTTTAGTCCCTTTCAAGATACTAACTTGATCTTCGGAGGCGGAGCTCCAACCACCCGGAGTCTCCGTTGTTTTACAGGTACAGCTCGCCCGGACCTATCTTTGTGACGTAACTCTCCCGAGGGACAAAAACACCCAAAATAGTATTACTGACTGGGAAACTCTTGCCTTGAATTTTTATAATAAATATTACCCTGTAGAGAAAACAGTTGTACTAAGGAGTTCTATTCAGAACTTTGCCCAAGAGGCTGATGAAACATTATATGAGGCTTGGGCGAGGTTCAAGGATCTACAGAGAGAATGCCCCCACCACAATCTAGCATAATGGCAATTGATCCAAGCTTTCTACAATGGACTTGGAAATTCATCTAGATCAGTTCTAGATTCTTTAGCTAGTGGGAGATTCATGAATTTAAATGTGGATGATGCCGGACATGTTATCGAAGATATGGAAATACACAATTCCCAATACGGGAATCCGAGATGGTTTGCAAATAAAGAAAAACACAATGTTGATTCCGTGTACTTTTTGCAAGCTCAGTTAACATCTATTTGTCAGAAACTAGATAATCTTACTGCTACTCCTAACTGTGTAGCTAATATTTCTTCTGTTGCTAACAATGAAACTTTTTGTGAAAATTGAGGAATTGTAGGGCATTGGGAGCAAGATTGTAGGAGTTTCATGGAACAAGTTAATGTCTTCAAAACCTATAGGCAAAATAACCCATACTCTAACTCTTATAATCCTGGTTTCCGGAACTATCCATATCTTTTTTACCGGAGTACCAATGTACAGAGCCCTCCACTTTCACAACAACCACAACAACAACCTCCACCACAGCATAAATATTACCATCCTAATTCTGGCCAGAAAAACCAAGCACAACCCTCATCATCTTCTGACTCTGCTATGACAGAAATTAGAGCAATGCTTACCAACATGTAAAAGCATATAGAGAGTAGGGATGCGCAAATTGATTCAATTTTAGCTCATAATAAAATAATGGATAATCAAATTGAATAACTTTCATCTACCCTACAGACCCGTTAGCAGGGAGCTCTACCATCATAACAAATCCATCCCACAGATCATGCCAATACAATCACTCTAAGGAGTGGTTCACATTATGATGGACCTCCTATGCCAAAGGATGATGGACCAGTTCTTGATCCGGATTCCTCTATACCAAATGCTAATCCTGTGAACCTTGCAGGGCTATTAAAAGATACTAACCCTTCTAATGTTTCTTTGCAGGGTAAATTTCAAGATAAGGAAGGAGATGTGCAGAGCCCAGTTATCAAACTACCGTTCCCTAATATACAATTGAAGAGTAAGTTTGATAAACAATTCGGTAAGTTCTTGGAGGTTGTGAAAAACTTGCAGGTAACAGTTCCTTTCACTAATTTAATTGCATATGTTAAATTTATGAAAGACATTCTGACTAGGAAAAGGGCCTTTAATGAGGTAGAAACTGTAGCTTTTACAGAGGAATGTAGTGCCCTATTACAAAATAAATCCCCTCCTAAATTAAAGGATCCTAGTAGTTTTTCTATTCCTTGTCATATAGGGAATGTTTTTATTGATAAAGCTTTGTGTGATTTGGGTGCCAGTGTTAGTGTTATGCCATCGTCTGTTTGTGCTAAACTTAATATGGGTGATTTAAAAGTTACTAATATAACTTTGCAAATGGCAGATCGCTCTGGAAAATACCCTCTAGGTATTTTAGAGGATGTCCCTGTCAGAGTTGTTAAATTTTTTATCCCTGTTGATTTTGTTGTTTTAGACATGGCTGAGGATACATAAATTCCCATTATATTAGGTAAGCCTTTCCTCGGTACTATAGGATCCATTATTGATGTCAAAAATGGTAAACTAACCCTTTCTGTTGGTGATGATAATGTTACGTTTAATTTAGGGAAAGTTTTGAAAGGACCTATGTTAGAGGAAAATTGTTGACTTATTGATGTAATTGATATAATGGATGATATTTGTGATGATTTCTTGCCACAAGTTCTTGTAAGGGATCCCCTGGAGGAAATTCTTTGTGGGAATTTATCTGCAGATAATGCAAGCGTCTGGGGTAATGAAGTACATACTATTGAAAAAGCTCTTTCCCTAAAAGTGTTAGACCCCAAGGAGACAATGAAGGTAATAAATTTAGTTCAGGAATTGAAACCTGCAGAGGTTAAGAAACCTGAACTAAAACCTCTCCTTTCTCATTTAAAATATATTTTTCTTGATGAACAGGAACTATACCCCGTGATCATCAGTACTGCACTTAATGACCTACAAACTTCCCAACTTCTAGGGGTTCTTCAAACCCATAAGAGAGCACTTGGGTAAAGTATTGATGATCAAAAGGGTATTAGCCCTGACTTTTGTATGCAAAGGATACATTTAGAGGATAACTATAAGCCCTGCATTAAACCCCAGAGAAGATTGAATTAGGATAACTAATGTGTAGGAAGTAGTCAAGAAAGAGGTTATGAAATTACTTGATGCAGGTATTATCTATCCTATTTCTGACTCCAAGTGGGTAAGTCCTGTGCAGGTAGTGCGTAAAAAAGGTGGGATGACTGTGATTACAAATGAGAAAAATGAATTAATCCCCACTAGAACTGTTACAGGGTGGCGTATGTGCATTGATTATCGTAGATTAAATACCGCCACTAAAAAGGACCACTTCCCCCTTCCCTTTAAAGGTCAAATGCTTGAGAGGTTAGCTAACCATAAGTTCTTTTGCTATTTGGATGGGAATTTGGGATTTTTCCAAATTCCAATTCACCCCGAAGATCACGAAAAGACTACCTTTACATGCCCTTATGGTACTTTTGCATATCGTAGGATGCCCTTTGGTTTATGTAATGCCCCCGCTACCTTTCAACGTTGCATGATGAGCATTTTTTCTGATTTCATAAAGTCTATTATGGAAGTCTTTATGGATGATTTTAGCATGTATGGTTCTTCATTTGATGCATGTTTAATAAATCTCGCTAAAATTTTAAACGATGTGAAGAATGCAATTTGGTGCTAAACTGGGAGAAATGTCACTTTATGGTGACAGAGGGAGTAGTTCTAGGTCACATTGTATCTGACAAGGGCATACAAGTAGATAAAGATAAGATTTTAGTGATTGAGCAATTACCTTACCCAGTTAATGTTAAGGGAGTTAGAAGTTTCTTAGGTTATGCGGGGTTTTATCGTCGCTTTATCAAAGACTTTTCTAAAATGCTAAACCACTAACTCAGATTTTACTCAAGGATGCCCCTTTTATTTTTACATACAAGTGTATTGAGGCTTTTAACAGGATTAAGCAGGCTTTGATATCGGCACCCATCATATGTGCTCCTGATTGGAATCTACCTTTCGAGAATATGTGTGATGCAAGTGACTTTGCCCTAGGAGCTGTGCTCGGACAGAGAAAGAACAAAGTTTTGCATGCAATTTAATATGCAAGCAAAACTTTGCAAGTAGGATTTTTTGTGTCCCTTAAAATTCTCGACTCACGTATTTTCGACGCTTTTTAGCAGCGTTGAGAAATATTTTTACGATGCTTTTTAGCATCGAAAAAGGCCTAAAAAGCGTCCAAAAAACACGCCTTTTGTAGTAGTGTGATGCTTTCATATATGCTTTAGAAAAATTTAGATCATATCTTGTTGGTTCTAAAGTCATTGTTTCTACTGACCATGCAGCTTTGAAGTACTTGATATCCAAGGCGGAATCAAAGCCTAGGCTACTCTGTTGGGTTCTTTTGCTCCAAGATTTCAATATTGAGATAAAATATTAAAAAGGGAGTAGAGAACGTAGTGGCAGAACACTTGTCCCGTATCAGGTATGATGAGGGTAAGGATTTTCTTCCTATAGATGATTCTTTCCCTGATGAAAACCTGTATGCAGTTGTATAGCAACACCCTTGGTATGCTGAGTTTGCTAATTATTTAGTGGGTGGTACTCTACCTCCTAACTTGTCCTACCAACAGAAAAAGAAATTCCTTTTTAATGTTAAACATTATTTTTTTGATGATCATTTTTTTGTTTCGTGAGTGTGTAGATGGATTATTTCGCAGGTGTGTTTCCGAATGGGAAGTTCACGGTGTTCTTACTAGTTGCCACACCTCACCATATGGAGGAAATCATGGCCCACCACAACGGTGGCCAAGATTAATGAGTCAGGTTTCTATTAACCTACTATATTTAAGGATGTTAACACTTTTGTGCAGGATTATGACTCTTGCCAGAGGACAGGCAACATCTCGCGGCGGCATGAGATGCCTCAAACTTGAATCTTAGAAGTTAAAATTTTTTATGTTTGGGGTTTTGATTACATGGGACCGTTCCCTTCTTCAAACGGGAACCGCTATATACTTGTCACCGTTGATTATGTATCCAAGTGGGTTGAGGCCATTGCCACTCCTACTAATGATGCCAAGGTGGTCCATAGACTTTTCAAGAAGACTATCTTTCCAAGATTTGGAGTGCCTAGAGCTATAATCAGTGACAGAGGATCTTACTTTCATGAGCGGAAGTTAGACACCCTCCTAAAAAAGTATGGTATTTACCATAGGACAAGTTTAGCCTACCATCCCCAAACTAGTGGCCAAGATGAAGTTTCCAACCGCGAGATCAGGGCCATTCTAGAGAAGGTGGTGGCAAAATCAAAGAAAGATTGGAGCGATAAGTTGGATGACACCCTTTGGGCATACAGAACTGCGTTTAAGACTCCAATAGGTACTACTCCATATAGACTTGTGTACGGTAAAGCATGTCATCTTTCGGTGGAATTAGAATACAAGGCATATGGGGCTATTAAGGAGCTCAATTTGGATGCCAAATTAGCGAGAGAAAAGAGGTTACTTCAACTTAACAAACTCGATGAGTTTAGCTTGACGGCCTATGATAGTGCTCGTGTCTACAAGGAGAAGACAAAGAGATGACACGACAAGATGATCCTTCCGAGAGAATTCAAAGAAGGTGATAAAGTGTTGTTGTTTAAATCTAGACTTAAACCTTTCCCAAGAAAGTTGAAGTCAAGGTGGTCGGGTCCTTTTACTGTCAAAAGGGCTAACAAATTTGGTTCTGTGGAGGTATTCGATGAACATGGTAACGAGTTTAAGGTTAATGACCAGAGACTCAAGCTATATCATGAGGGGGCTACAAATTGTGCAGCTGAACTACTTCACCTAAGCGGTTCCGGTTCATTTTGAGCTTCAATGTGGTAAGAGGGTCATGCGGGACCTAGATAAACCAGCGCTTTGCGGAAGGCAACCCTTATTTCTTGCTTTATAGACTAGTTTTTCCTTTATTTTTTTTTTATTTTTTTTAGAGAGGTGAGGAGAGTGCAACTTTACCTTTCATAAGTGTTTTTGTACAAGTATTAGATCATAAAGTAAGGAGACTTAAAGAGAAAACGTTCGAAGAAAAGAGCATTCCGATTTAGGTACGGGCCCGATCTGGTGAGGCTCGCCCGATCGTGCGCGCACCTAAGGGTCAAAATCGAGCAAAAATGTGCCCGATCGGGCGCACAATTTGATTTTTATCGGAGCTTTATTTCGACCGATTGGGCGAGGCTCGCCCGATCGGGCGCGCAAGCAAGGAAGAAAAATCAAGGGAAATTCGCCCGATCGGACGGATTTTTTGAGAAATCGAGTGAATTAAAAAGATATGTAGGACGAAGCAAAGGGCGAAAAAATGCTTCGAGTTCGCGCCCGATCGTGCGCGCACTTCACAAATCTGCAAAACATATGTACGCCCGATCAGGCGCGCCTATTTTTGGCCGGGCTATAATTTCTTTTCTCCTTCTTTCTTTCCTCCTCCTTTATTTTCTTTTTCCTTCTTACTTCTTCTTCTTTATTCACACTTTCTCTCTCTAAAATCTCCATTTTCAAACCTTCAGACTCACTTTCCTTTCAAGATCTCCTCAAATTCATCCATCAAAACTCCAAAATTTTCACATATTCTTCATCCTTACACCTTCCTCTACATTCTACACTAAATTTCTACCACTTTCTCTCAATATTTATCAAAATCCTATAGACACCTAAAAATGTCTCCCCAAAACCAAACCTGATGAGGAACAACCTTTCACCGCCGTTATTGGTCGGGTTGAGTATCTAATCTTGGAGTGCTTAAATCCATATTTCAATTTCATAAACCAACCTAAATTATAGCCCTTTTCCCCAAACCATAACTTATTTTCCTCTTTTCGTGCCTTTAAACCCAAAATAATTCATTTCGTGTCCTTTAAAATCATTCACTTCATGTCCTTTTTATAAAAACGTTTAATCTAGTTTGTTTTGTTCCATAATATGGGTCCAATGATTAAAAAGTTTGATGGGGCTTGAAAATATATTTCCAACGATATATTATAAGCCCAAATCCGATTTATTACGAATAAGTTATGACCAAAATATTAAACTGAGCCCAAACCGAACCTAAGCCCACCTTACCTATGACTCAATGATCATGTGGAGGGTCCAAATGATGTAATCCAATTCCTAAACCAATTAGGATTAATTGGAAGCTTCTGTAAGTTTCTAAAAGATCTTAATTATCCTTTTTGAAAAGATAAGATGTAATAGTTTGAAATTGACTAAAACTCCTTTTTTTGAAAGTCCTAATTTTATTCGAATTGAAAGACATTCAAAGATAGACAGATATTATTTTCGTTCCTCATAGTTTTAACCAAATTTTATATGGTAGGATATCCCTTAAAATTATCTTTCCAATGATATATTATAATATCAATTCCAAGCTATAACAGGAAAGATATGAATTAAATGTCAAACTCTATTCAAAACTATTTCGGCCATTTATTTTATTCTACAAAATATTTTAATCTGATTGCAATTGGGTTAGAAATTAGACTTCAAGATCTTTCGAACAATATCTTATTCAACTTATTCCGATTTCTGGATTAAAAGATATGATAAAAACAAAAACCGCAAAAACTGTTGTCTATCACAAAAGTTTTAATCCGATTCGAACTCGATCTTTTCTTGATTCTTCGACCCTCATTTTTCCCTACAAATAGAGGTCATATCACCTCTTTTTCAATCATCAACAAGCTTGATCATCAAATAATTCTCTTCTCCCTCTTTAGCTTAAACACTAGCAACCTTATTTCAAATCTATTTAATTTAATTTCCATTTTATTTATATTTTTATTGAAGTTACTAACAGTTTATTCATGATGTAGCAATTTAAAGGAATGCGCGGAATGTGAGTAATTAATTAATTTAATTACTCTTATTTGATTTTCTTATTGCTAGTATCATGATTAGGTTATTTTATATTTAATTTGACTAACGATATTATGGTTAAATTTATTCCAATGTTAATGTTTATTTTATTATATTTATTGATCAGCATATTGCATGTTTAAAGGGAATATGTAATTGAAAATCACGCCTAATAAGATAATTTGGACAACCGGATTAGGTTCCTTTTTAATCTTGTTGTTAATTCAAGTGATCACAATAGTTTAGAATTATGTGTTGCATTAATATTAAACCAATTTAGCTTAATAATAGTTTGGAGAAAATTGAATATTTTGTTTGTATGCCTTTGAGATCGCAGGAATCACTTTTCAATATAAGAACCGAGTAGAGGCCAATACGGGCAAATGTGACTCCATGACTCACTTCGTTCCATCATCCCCGATCCTCCTTTCGTGATTCCGAACCATATGGAGTAAGTAATCTCAAGGATTATGAATGGGTGTAACATTCACGGGTCAATCGTTGTTGCCTTCGTTGTCCCTTTATTTGGGTTGCCTTTTTATGATCCGTGAACGGTTTACAAGTTCCTTAAAAACTTGTTGGCGGCTCCCTACTTTCCTTGTCCCTAATCGTATTATGTCAATTCCCACTTCCTATGAGTGCCAAGTATATTCACACATGCTTTTAATGATGGCGCACTTCGAACGACGCCTACAATTCGGCGACTCCACTGGGGAGGATTCTTGGTTATTTATCGATTTGAGTGATTGTTATTTAATTGAGATGAGTTGATGAGACTTGAAAGATTCCTGAAAAATATTCCGGTGATTTAATTGGCATTGTCACATATGCATATGCATTTTAGCTTACCCATTTTGCCACAATTGTACGTGTTCTACGTATGTGGCTAGCCCGGGGGATTTATGCTCTATCAACTCGAAAACACTCATGGCAATAAGGGTTCATCCGAGTATTTAAATCCACCCAAACCATGGAATCGAGTTTGATTTCATCACGAACTTGCAGAGCCGCCCGTTGGCATACACCTCAAGGGAGGCTGCCTTGCTAACACGTCCAAACTCTTAACCATCGTACCCTTTGACACCCAAAAGCTTGACCATAGTCGAACATAGAACTTAACTTTAAGTTGCGAACTTCATTGCATCACGCGTGACGATATGCTTATATGTGCATTTTTTTACTAAATTTTTTTAATAATTTTTTTTTTCTCTTATCAAACCCTTTTTTTTTATTATTAGAGTCGAGCCATAGATTTTTTTTTTTGAGTCACCCGGATTTTTATTCCCGTATACTGCACAAGAGTCAACTTGTTTTTGTCATAGCCGGAGTTCTAGAAAAGTTACGTGTCGTGCCACCTATGGATCTGTAGCCCCGAGTGTTATCTTTGAGTTAGAATTGGTTTTTATCCAAATCAGAGTCATAGATCAAAATTTATAACCGATATACTACAGCCTGTCCAGTCTTTTTAGTGTCAACTTTCTTTTGTTTTTTTTTAGTTTTTTTTATATCTTTTCGTGTCAAGATAGTATTAGCCAAATCCTTTAATCTGTTTCAACTCATATAACATAGGTATAACATAGGATTATAGATTTTTATTTTATTTATTTATTTTTTAATACCATTGAGTCCTAACTCTTTTAGAATTCTAGTCCTCTTCCTAGTGCTAACCTTAACATGTGTTCTTTGTCTTTGATTGTGGTTGATCTTATTTATGACTAATGATTGTCAATGGACCGTTTTCATCTAGTAAATAGCATAAACATTAAAATTGGACAAAATTAATCAAGTTAGTTTGTCTTTTAGTCTTCCATGCTATTTGGTCATTGGGTCCTTTGTTTTTCACAACGTCCTCATGTCTAGCCATGCGATCATACCATGAGTCTTAATAAACTCACCTAATCACACATTTTGAGTCGTTTCACACACTTTATCTTCGAGTAATGCACTATATTGTTTATGATCGTATATTAGGACCATGCATGCGTCGTTTTCCGTCATAATAGGAATGAGAGGAGTTTTTCCCATCAGTTTTCAAAATTATTTCATACACTCTTCCTTTCCTATCCGAGTATCAGGCGGCAAGAAGTAATTCATAAGAAACCATGAAGACAAAGCATAAGACAAGTTCCCATATAAGATTTCATGCTTTTTATTTATTCTTTCGTTTCAACTCTTTTCCCCTAATAAGTCTAGCATAGGTTGTCCTTATCCTTATGTCTATATGCCAAGTTTCATCAATGAGTATTTCTTTTCCTTTGCATTCTATCATGTCATTCCCCAAAAAAAAAAAAAAAAAAAAAAAACAACAATTACCAAACTAAACACAAGGTACACCAATGACTTGAGGCACCTTTGCAACCCTGTCATTCCCTGTTAACCGTTCGATCACATATCCATTTCTTCATTAACCACTTTGAGCCTCGTCTAACGGTTGACCTTATTTATTCAATCCACGTTCACTTAACCCTAGGCTGGAAAGGTGTGTAATTGTATAACATTCAAAAAGCAAGTAAAAAAAAGTAGCAAAGCAACAATAAAACAATGTCTAAGGGCAAGTGTTCCAATGTCTTTGATATGAACACGTCTCAAATTGCGTCTCTCATCGAGTGCTTTGTACCGTGCTTGAGAAACATGAATGCTAAGTGAGTGATGGACCGCATGATCTGAGATTGCCCACATTGATTAAAAAAAAAATT